ATCTTCAATATCTCTTCCTTAATAGGGATTTTTCTCCACACAAATAACCTTTCTGGTACCCTTCCTGTTGATTTGTGCTACCATCTGCCAAATCTTGAGGGGCTTTATTTGGGTAAGAATCAATTAAATGGCTCAATTCCCTCAAGTATAGGTAGATGCAAGAAGCTTCAGGAGTTGACTCTAAGCACTAATAGATTCATCGGATGCATCCCAAGAAGCATTGGGAACTTGTCCAAACTTACTGGAATATATCTCGGTCACAACGACTTTGAATGTAAGATTTGATAAGCTCACTAGAAACATTCCAGAAGTATTGGAAACTGCATTTTACTTAATTATTTTGACAATTCTATAAATTTCTTGATAGGCACCAATCTAATGCAAACCCTTTTTCTAGAATTATACTTCTTCATCTCTTATCTTTATCAACAATTCTATCTTGGCAAAAAAATTAAATGCAAGTTAAAAAGCTTATCAATTAATTTGTTTAAATGTTTGACAGGTGAAATACCAAAGGAGGTTGGCAACTTACCCTTGGTGACTTTATCTATGGGATTCAACTTCTTGACTGGTTTCATTCCTCCGATGATCTTCAACATCTCAACCTTGGAATGTATTTACTTAGGGGGGAATAATCTTTCAGGCCATCTTCCTTCGACCATTGGACTTGGGCTTCCAAAGCTTACTGAGCTAGAGTTGTTTGACAATAAACTCAACGGCATTTTCCCAAGTTCTATCACAAATTCTTCCTTACTTGCCATTCTAGACCTAAGCAATAACTTGTTCTTTGGCCCTTTCCCCAATTCACTTGGCCATCTAACATCCCTCCAATGGCTTGACCTGAGTCAAAACATGTTCTCTGAATTCTCCACTCCAAAAAGAAGCTTTCTCTTCTCTTTGATAAATTGCAAATATTTGACATTTCTAGATGTATCATTTAGTTCATTGAATGGCATCCTTCCGGCTTCAATTGGGAATCTATCTAAATCTCTTCAATATTTGTATGCATCGAATTGCAAAATTCAAGGAAACATTCCTGTGGAAATTGGCAACTTGAGCAACTTGATAAGTTTGGAACTTATTGGGAATGATTTGATTGGGCCAATTCCAGCAACAATAGGAAGATTGCAACAGCTCCAAGGTCTATATTTTTATAGCAATAGACTTCAAGGAACAATTCCGAATGATATATGTCATTTACAAAAATTATATGAATTGGTATTGGATAGCAATCAGCTCAATGGATCCATGCCAGAGTGCTTAGCTAATTTGACTTCTTTAAGATATCTATACTTAAGTTCCAACAACTTAAGTTCTACGATATCCTCAACCTTCTGGAGTCTTACATATATTTTGGAAGTAAACTTGTCCTCAAATTCCTTCAATGGCTTTCTTCCATTAGATTTTGGAAACCTGAAGGTCTTGATCAGCATGGATTTATCTAGAAATCAACTCTCAGGCAATTTGCCTAACAACCTTGGGGATCTAAAAGCTTTGACTCATCTTTTCTTAAGAGAAAATGCATTAGAAGGTCACATTCCTCAGTCATTTGGAGGCTTGGTCAGCTTGGAATCGTTGGATCTCTCTAACAACATTCTCTCAGGAGTGATTCCTAAGTCTTTGGAAAGACTTTTTCATCTCAAATTTTTCAATGTATCTTTCAATAAACTCAAAGGAGAAATCCCAAGTGGAGGATCATTCAAAAATTTCTCTGCTCAATCATTTATGGGAAACACTGCTCTCTGTGGTTTGCCAAGATTTCAAGTACCTCCGTGTAAGTCCCGTAAGAAATCCATCCAGGTGCAAATTAAATTAGTGTCATCACTTGTAGCAGCTACCGTATTGATACTTTTCCTTGTCATCCTCATCTTCAAACGGCTACGAAAATCAAAAGCAAAATCCATAGATGAAGAAATTTTGCTAAGTTTAGCAAAATGGAAGAGAATTTCATACCATGAGCTTCAACATGCAACTGACAAATTCAATGAAAGAAACTTACTTGGCAGAGGGAGTTTTGGGTCAGTATACTATGGGACACTTCCAGGTGGAATGAACGTTGCAATAAAGGTCTTCAATTTGCAAGTTGAGGGTGTACTCGAGAGTTTTGACACAGAATGTGAAGTATTGCGCAGTTTTCGTCATCGAAATCTAGTGAAAATCATTAGCAGCTGTTGTAATGAAGACTTCAAAGCTTTAGTGCTTGAGTTCATGCCTAATGGAACCTTGGAGAAGTGGTTACATTTTGATAGATGTTGTCTAAATGTCTTGCAGAGATTGGATATAATGATTGATGTGGCTTCTGCTCTAGAATATCTCCACCATGGAAATTCAATTCCAATCGTCCATTGTGATTTGAAACCTAGCAATGTGTTGCTTGATGAAGATATGGTTGCACATGTGGGGGATTTTGGTCTTACCAAGATTTTGGGAGAAGGGGAATCTATGATGCAGACAATGCAAATTGCCACTATAGGCTATATGGCACCAGGTGATCATTCATTTTTCTCATTTTTTAATTTTTTTGCTATTAAATATTAAACATAATATTATACAATTTGATATAGAGTATGGATCATTGGGAATGGTTTCTACAAAAGGGGACGTTTACAGCTATGGCATCTTAGTCATGGAGACATTCACGAGACGAAAACCCACAGACAAAATGTTTACTGGAGAGAAGAGCTTGAAGGCATGGGTGAATGAATCGTTATCTCGTTCAGGAACTGAAGTTGTGGATGACAATTTGATGGAGGAGGAGGAGCATTTCATTGCGAAAGCAAATTGTGTATCATCTGTTCTGGAAGTAGCTTTGAATTGTTGTACAGAAGCACCCAAAGAAAGGAGAGATATGATGGATGTCGCAGTGATGCTTAAAAAGATCAAACATCAATATCTTAAGGATATTGGAAATTGAGATAATCATGCAAATTAAATAACTAGAATTAGAGACTACTTTAGTGTTGAAATTGAGGTTTTGGACAAAAAATAACGATGGTTTCTCTACTTGTATAAATTTTATAAAATAAATTACTAATTTTATGGAAAACTCCATTTTATTTCCTTGGTCATCTTATTAGCACTGCATCGATAATGCTTTAATTTTAGGCTTTGGAATAATGCAAAGGTATACATGCATAAATGCAAACTGGCAGCAGAAAGAGCTATTTAAGACAGTTTGGGCATAAGATAGTCTTTTCCCCTTACAAAGAACATAAGAGTATATCATCACTACAATTGTAAAATCACTAACATTAATATAAATAACGTTGAGAGTGTGATTATCTTATAAAAAACAACAGAGTTATCCCAAATTGATAAAATGGCTACTAAAACAATACTTGTTAGAAAGAAACAACAGAATTATCCAACATTAATAAGAGTTGAGAGGGGAGGAAGAAAATGGAAGTTTAAATGTGGGGGAGTTAAGGTGGACAGATCGTGGGAGAAAGTCAGAGTGGATGGACACGTGTCCAAGATGGCCTTGCATGGATCCGTCTCGTAACGAAATAAACGGACTATGTGGCGGTTCTTTAGACCGACTTCGCCACATGGCTTCTTGACCCAGTTGGTGCTGTTTGGTGACAATGAATTCGTAGTTTTATAATCAGCCGCTACCTTCCAAAGTCCAAACTGAACTCTTTTTATGAATTAAGGAATTCGTCTCTTCTAATCAACCTCGAAAAAATATATATATATATATATAAGAATGTATGTAAAATTATTTAAATAATTTTAATAAATTAATATAAGAGAAATTTATTTAAGGGAATTTAAAATTTTTTAAAGGTATTTTTACATTTTTTTTTCTTATATAGACATGAAAACCTTTTATATGAAATAAAAATAATTATTTTTAGAAAAGTTTCTCATTTCACTTTTACTACACATTCATCTTCCTGGTTGCGCAACCTAGCAAGCTGGTTACTAACAACAATATCGAGCATTTCACAAAATATATAAATATATATATATATGTATCAAGTTTAAATATTATTAATAGATATTTAAATAATTTTACAAATACTTCTACATATTTTTCTTGCAAGTTGTTTGAAAAATATTTTGTTTGTTTATTATAATTGTAACTCTCAAAAATAAACACCGGAAACCAAATGGGTCGGAGCTCCAGAGCCCAAATACTTCGGACTATGGACCTTCTAAATTCTAACAACCTTGTGTTGATGAGGACAGCCCACTTTTAAATAGCAAAGGCTCGGCTTCAATCAAACGGTTGTATCGTATCGACCATTTGCTGTGTTAACGGCTCGCACCACCATTCACCAATCAAACTTTCAAACCCGTATCTCGGATCTCAATCTCTGCCTCCTTGTCTCCGGGTATCGGTCTAATTATGCTAATTCGACAACCTGCCCGTTAAGGATACTGTTTCTTGGAATTCAATGATTGAAGTGTGCTTTACAGCGTGGGGATGTTTAGCTACGTCTAGGAATGCTATTTGATCAAAAGCCTGAAAGGAATGTTGTTTCTTGGACATTGCTGGTACATTCGTATTTGCGGTTTGGCAAATTGTCATATACCTACATTATTTTTTTACCTGCATTAATAATTCCATGAGTATAGGTGCTTATACTTACAATTTACTAATTTTTATGTATATGGTCTAAATATATCTACATAGTTTATAAAACTATAAGAATAAAATGACATTACTTGTAAAAATAATTCAGTGCAGGTATAAAAGAAAAACTTTTACCTATGGTCAAGATCAACTATGCGTATAGAAGTCTCCCATACCTATAAATTTTCAAAAACCATAGCTATAGTTCATTTAACTTCATAAACTACTAATCACATTGCAAAATTATATTTTTGGCTAATACTTTTATGGTTGCAAATATTCATTTTAATAACCACTAAAATTATTCTATTCCCTTCTAGCAATGACCATTATTACTGTAAAATATTAGTTTTATAAATGATTTAAGGTTGTTATAAGGTGTCAATTTTTACAATAATTTATAATATTGTTATATAATATATTAAACAACAAAAATTATTAGTGATAAAAGATGATATTGTAACTACTCCACTAAAGTTATTTTATATCTCTTTTACCGGAAATAGCAATGACTAATCATTACTAAAAAATGATATTAGTTTTACAAATGTTTGAAGGTTGTTATAAGATGTAATTTTTGTGACAACTTATAGTATTGTTAAATAATATATTTAAAAATAAAAATATATTATTGTAAAATATTAGTCTTAGAGACGAATAAAATTGTTACAAGATGCACTTTTTTCATTAACTTATAGGATTGTTAAATAATATATTTAATAATGATAAATATTGTCATCATAAAGTGCATGATACCATACTATATTACGAAATAAAACTAAATAATGAATTTTCTTAAATGTTAACAATAGGCCTTAACTTAGCACAGATTTCAATGGTCTCATGCCTTAAGTAATAAACTAAAAAATAAAGTTTTATCATGTAATCATAAATTATTATCATACTTAGGTATTGGGTACTAAATTTCAAAATCTATATGTACTTGAATCATTCCCAAGGAACCTGTAAATAAGAGTTGTTTATGTTTTTGTTGAGAGAAAAAAAAAAGAGTTGTTC